GTTATGTGAACAGCGGTAAAAGCACTCTACGCTGACCATAAACGACTCGCACTTGCGACTCAATGTTTTCTTGCATGGAGTCCAGGAGAAATTGCCGATTTTCTTGACCGGGGAGGTGGCTAGTTGTTTGGTGAAATCGCTGGTGCAGCAGGAATTGCTTTTGTACGCTTCACAAGCGACCATCGATTCTTCAGCGGACGGTGAGTCCTTGTGCTTTCCACCAGACAGACATTTGTTTTCTCGTTCAAGGCATTCGGCGCTCACAAACAAGGCCGAAGCGACAATTAATACGGCTCCAATCTTCATGATAAATCAGAATTAAGAGCTGGTTCTTTCACGGACAAGCAACGTCTAATCTATTGACCCTCTCTCGGTGGTTTAACTACGATGACTTTCACAATAAGAATGTCTGTCAAGCCGCGCCGATTAGCGGGATAGTTCTGGTTCAGTGTATATGTTATACGCTGATGAGCCAATCACGTGTCGTTTACCAGAGATTTCATCAACCTTGATCCAAGGGCGATATTTAGTGGAGCAAAGTCCAGATATTGAATACACAAGGAGATAAAGAAGAAAGAAAAGTGATAGTTCACTCTGTAACAACACACTGACGTCAGAATCGTTTTCTCAATTAAACTTCCAAAAACAACCGTCCCTTTTCTTTTGAAAATCGCATAACTAGGCCATTCCCGAGTTGTCTTTAACCGCTGTGAAATTGCCTTCCGCCTACAGGCTCATTTTCAGGCAAATCAAACTCATTTTTTATATGAAAGGTTTTGCACGAAGACTCTGAGTCATTTTGAAAGAGTGGCAGAAAGTGAATTCGGAAATGGCCTATTTCCTTCTTTTTGAGCATTGATTTCAGTAGATGATTCATGAACTTCCGCTTGTGTCATATATACAGCTGTTTTAAGAAAGGTTGTCGTACGAAAGTGTAAAAGCGTACGCGACAATGTCGAAAGGTATTATGGGTAATGGTGACCAACGGTTGCTTGATTGAGGCTAAAGTCATTTCATGACGACAGAGGGACGCAGCACAAACACGTATATTTATGCTCTTCTTCCTGAAGCACTGATGATCTCAAACAAAGAACGCCAAACTATTACTACCCATAATTGGCGTTCGCTTTTACGCTTGTGTGCTTTAACGCTTACCCTTTTACGCTTGCTTACCTTTGTCGAATAAGCTGTACATAGCAGCCTGCGAACCCTAGCTAGGGATCGATTTCAGGGAAGTCAGCGCTTACTAACAATCACATTTCACCTTATAA